AACTACAATAGTAGTCCAGACTGCTCACGGACCCCGAATCCCTGGAACTGGGTCCGTGACAGATTGGGACCAATTGGCCAATCCAGCATCGTTTATACCATTAAAAAAAAACCACCAGCCCACCACGCAAATGCCCATTATGTCCGTTGGCCACTCCAGCTGTGCATTACACGCATTTGTATGGATACAACCTCTTCCACTTAAAGCGTAAACAATACAACTTTGAATATGTGAACACATTTTAAATAGTTTCTCTCTGTATTTGAACCATTAATGTGCATTTTTGAACATTTAAACACATCATAAACTTTTTTATGATTATATTTAGTTATCAAAATAAAAGATACGCTGATATACTGCTGTTGATACGCTGCTATTCACAATATCACTGTTTTGTCTATTTTTAATGCCGACAGCTTTTATAATACTAACATTTAAAGTCAGTTACTTTGGTCGTGATAAGCTGATCACGTGTGATTCTCTAATGATTATCTAACAATAATCTAATAATCTAATACCATGACTGAAAACAGCTGGTTACCAGTACAATGATGTTCTGAATCACTGTCTCATATAAATATATATATATATAAGACAATCTGTGTTATTATTTAGGTGTAACCCAACACACATTCTGAACAATCACAGAAATCCGGTTAAACTAAACTGACAGGTAGAGCGAGTTCATCCGCTGCAAAAGGTTTTCCTGCAACAACTTCTGCACAGCACCTTTTACAGGTGGAGGGAGTGCCACTAAGAAAACTCTCTGAGGTGAACGTACCAGCTCTAAATAGCTGCTGATGTCCTTTATCAGCAAAGAAAGTTTGACCAGGAAACTAAAACAGTTAAAGAAGAGAAGGAGAGGATGTTAAAATCACCGTTCTCTGTGTTTCTCTTCTGTTTGTTGCGACATCTGGACTGTACAGGTAAGCTGCGCGTACCTGTGTGAATAAACCTGCTGGTTACGGGGAGAGATGTGGGGAGTTTTACACTGTGTACTTTACTGCAGTGTCTTTGAAAGTCAGCGTGACAGTGTAGAGTAAATGTAGGCACACAGGTAAAGGTGAGACAGGGAAATGGATTCAATGGAGTCATCTTAAGTTTACTTTCATTTTGACGTGTCTGAACATAATCGCGCTGACGCTTGACACACAAACCGCGAATAACAAGCAGCTGAGACTCTGCTGTGCCGTAAACGTTAAATTTGAACAAACTTCCGTATTTAGCCGTAAAATAGATCATATTATTACTAAGATTGATGCAGTTTTTGACAAAGTTAGTGCGCATGCTGAGGGCAGGATGCTTCCGCGTGTCTGTCTGTCAGTGATGCGTGACAAGAATCCACAGATCAGGACTGTCGATAAAACTTGTTTGGTAACAGGACTGTAAGCTGAGCCCCACTGACAAGAAACAGAAACAAGTTTGGAGAATCTCAAATTTTAGTTTTTACAGTGGTTTACTGCATTTATGGTTTAGTGAAGTTATGGTTGTTTTAAATAGTTACTATAAATCTGAAGTACAGAACCAAATTAGTTTAAATATGAATGCAGGTTAGCTGAATGAATGGATTGTTCAGGGTTTAGAAATATACTGGAAAATAATTTAAGGACATTTTAAATCAGTCAGTAATTATTAATAACAAATTTGTCTTGTTCTTATTCTCAATGATCCATGTAGGTAAATCCCAAAAGGTTGATTCTGTTCATCTGGATCTTTTCAGTGGGAGAAACGTTTCATCACTGATCCAGGTGACGTCTTCGGTCTCAGCTGACTGCAGGTTTCCCCAACCTTATAAACAGTGGATTGGCATAATGACTGAAACCAGCCCACTGAATCTAAGGAGCTTGGGAGAGACTGGACTTCTTTAAGTTGCTTGAAGACATTTCACCTGTCATCCAAGAAGCTTCTTCAGTTCTACGATCAATTGGTGGAGGGTCCCAAATTTAAGCCCTAGGGGAGTGTCCCCCCAAGAGGGACATGGACCCCCTAATGATCCTCTACCTAATCAAACAAGCCGAGGTCAAACAGATGTCGGTCACAAGAAACGTAAAGAAGTCCAGCCACTTTTCTTTCCACGCTCCTTAGACTAAGGCTACGTCCACACTAGCCCGGATAGATTTGAAAACAGCGTTTTCGTCTGAAAACGCTCTGCATCCACACTAGCATTTTCAGTCGTTTTTACAGTCCACATTGAAAGCGCTTATGTTCCAGTACTGCGCATGCGTGAAACGCAAGAAGATTAGGCCTGCCTCATTTCTGTCTGCCGTTTATTTATTTTGCGACTGTTGAAAAGTCTCTTTGAAAAGCACCGAGTTTTTTAAATGGACTCACAATGAGGTGGAGTTGTTTCTGTAAGTAACACAAAAGTACAAAGTTGCAAAAGTGAGTGAGAATTAAAGAATTTGAAGAAAAGCTCTCTGGAGCACGTACAGACTGATATTAATCTTTAATAGGGCTGTCAAACAAAACAACTGCTGTATAATGCCCTCCACTATCTTAGTTTAATTGGTCACATGACTGCATCATATGACTAAAATGTGTGGGCTTAATGGAGCTCACAGATTCTGCTTCAAGGAACATCATCATCATCAGTGTGTTTCATGTAACGTGGTCTGAGTGTTGTTTGACTGAGTGTTCAGGTTTGAGTCCAAACAGGTTAAAAAGGCCACTCTGCTGGTTCTGTGTTCATGTCCAACACAAAGCTCACATAACTGCTGAAAGCTGTTTCTTTCTCTCCTCAGTTTCCCAGCATGCATCTAGGGTGCAGGTGTATGAGGGGGCGGAGTTTGTCCTGCTGCCCTGTCAGGTACCAGCTGATGTTTCCAGTGACTCCACAGCTGTGGTGTGGAACCGTGATGAGTTCACGATCCCAATGGTCCACAAGCGTGTGCAGAGCAGTGACGATCTTACAAACCAAAACCTTCGTTACCTCGGTCGAACATCAATGAGAGCCACCGCTCTGCAGACTGGAGACCTCAGCCTCACTCTGAGGAACCCCACAGTCTCTGACAGTGGAACCTATACCTGCACCGCTCGCAAGACTGGAGACGATCTGAAGGAGATCCATGTGCAACTGAAGGTCTCAGGTGAGTGGACTAAGGTCAGAGGTCAACTGCAGAGGTCCTGAGGTCCACACAGACTTCATGCATGAACATGTTCAGTTAAAGTAAAGTGAGATGTGAGTGTTTCTGTCACAGAGGTTCCTATCTGCTCTAATAATAAGGTGTGTGCTCTGAGGTCATCTGGTTTCACAGACCTTTAGTCTTTTATGTGTGTTTGTGCTCAGACTGAACCTCATTAACTTTAAACTAACATCACTCTGTGAGGCTGAAACCTCAGAGTTTAAACTCAGAGAGTTTTACAGTGTCTGAACCCTGCGGCCTGTGGTTCAGTTCTTAACCAGGGAGTAACCTGATGATGCTCTGAGTAACACAGGTAAAATATTAATAACAGATTCATGTAATCATGTCATTGAACATGTTGGATGATCTTGTGTTTGTGTTACAGAACCTCCTCCCCGCTGGCCCATAGTTGTGGCATTCGTGGTTCCTGTGCTCCTCCTGGCTGTTATCTTTGGTGCCCTCGTGTACCATGCAAATAATAAAGTAAAGAACAGAGCAGGTTAGTGTGTGACACAGTAACTTCACTGACCTTCACCTCCAGTATGTTAATGCTGATGTCTGCAACCTTTTACCTCACACGTCCTTAAACTGCTGATCTGGAATCAGCCACAAACAGCAGCAGGTCCCAAACATCCCTGAAACTAATAACTGATGATGCTGAGGATGTTCCATCAGCTGTCCACACACCTCTGAACTATGTTAAGCGCAGAGGTGTGTGGAAGAACACAGGAAGCTTTCAAAATTAAAAAAAAAACACAGAACACAAAGAAAAATAACAAAATAAGAGCTCATTTTAAACTAAATGTGAACTTTCTGTTAAAATATGTAGTCTGTGTGACCTTTACTCACAGACTGTTACGCTGATGGATGGCAGCTGTTAGTGTGTAATCCATAGAGACAGCTGAGGTGTTGTCATGGTAACAGCCTTTTTACATGATGGAGGTGAATGTATCAGCTCATTGTTTCAGGCTCACACAGGTACTGTAACAAGTGAGCTCATGTTCAGTGTCACAGCTCTGCTCTCTTCTCTCAGTCTCCATGCTGAAAGCAGAGAAGGTGACAGAGGGGGCGGAGTATATCAAACTGCTCTGGAATAAGAGTGAAGTTCCGCCTGCTGCTGTCAGAGTGAAGTGGACACGTGAACAACCTGAACATGGAGAGATCTGTGAGTGTGTGAAGGATCAGACGGGTCAGTGGAAGCTCGAGTCTGGTCCTGTTTATAAAGGTCGTGTACAGATGGATCAGCTGACTGAAGGAGACTTCACCCTGACTCTGATGAAGCCTCACTGTGATGATGGAGGTGTTTACTTGTTTGTCGTCTACGGCCAGGATGGAAAACCCATTAAAGTGACAGTAGTGGTGCTGTGGGTCAAAGGTCAGTATGACAGACTGTGAGGTAGACTGAGCTGAGACAAACAGAAAATGAAGTGTCACTGCAGTCACACACAGTCACCGTCATAACACTGCTCATCCACACTAACCTGCACGCACCTGTGATATTATTACTATTATACATATTATGCCGAACTTCTCACAGACTCTGATCAGTCACTGACATTCACAGAAACACTTTAGAATCTGTTTGGTTACTGCTTTTATTGTGAAGAAAACACAGGAAGTAGAGAGGTATACAGAAAACAGATCAGAGTGAGTGAGTGAAGGATGCTGGGTAAGATGAAGGAGGACGGCTGTGTCCCAATTCAGGGTCTGCAGCCTTAGAGTACGCAGCCCTAAAGGGTCACAAGGGCCACGTACTCAAAGACCGCTAAAGCCGGAAGTGAGAGGCTTGTGAAATGGGACGGTCTGGCCTTCATCATGCTGCTCAGGTTGCCTAGCAACCATGATACTAACCACGAGAAACGTTTCATACAATATTGTTTGAAAGAAATGAAGGAGAAAAAATATTTTTTGTTCATTCATTTTTTTAATGACATCACTTTGATTAGTTGAGTATCTGTGGCTGAGACCACGGGACTGTAAAACATGATAGTTGGGCTTCATTTCTGTACTGAACAGTCAGTTTAAGCTAGTAAATAACAATTAGTTAATGTTGTTCATGAGACTAAAGTCATCTCACTTTGGTAATGTAAATATAACTAGAAAAATTAGCATTTCCTGCGAAAATGCTGTGTGGATGCCTTAACGCTGAAGATGTCTGCTGAAAAAAGCTGAAAAAGTTGAAAAAAAAAATAAAAATGTTGCCCTGAGCAGGATTCGAACCTGGCCCTTCTGGTCTCAAGGCAGCTATTCATCTCACTGCGCCAAACTCTTTCTCACAGTGAATGAATAGTGGCATTGTAAAGCGCTTTACAATGCCACTATTCATTCACTCTCGCATTCACACACTGGTGAAGGCAAGCTACGGTTGTAGCCACAGCTACCCTGGGGCAGACTGACAGAAGCGAGGGTGCCATATCGCGCCATCGGCCCCTCTGGCCAGCACCAGTAGGCGGTAGGGTAAAGTGTCTTGCCCAAGGACACAATGACCAGGACAGAGAGCCCGGCGATCGAACCGGCGACAGATACGCTTCCCAACCCCCTGAGCCACGGTCGCCCCACAAACATCACTAATGTCACATAACTTTGCCGACATGTGGCCAACAGCAATGTTTTAATGTTCTTCATTATTAAACATTTGCACATAAATAAGTGACATAATATTCAGTATTTACTTTTGAAAGTTTACTCTTCGGCCGCCCTGCTTCAGCCATGCACGTTTTTTTTCCGGCAAAATTATCCACACCCACCGCCGCGCTATGAAGTCTGGGCTATGGTGGGCAACGAAGGATACACAGACCCATCCTTAAAATTCAGGGCAATGAAGGACGCATTTCGAGCAGCCTTTGAATTGGGACAGCCTTCGTCGCGTTTCTGATGTAATCGGCCTTAAAATGTGGCCTTTAAGGCTGCAGACCCTGAATTGGGACACGGCTGAAGTGTGTGTTTCCACCTGAGATTATGGATCTGACCTCAGCTGTTCTTCATCACTCTCATGTTGATGATGTCACTGCTGTGTTTGTCCTCTGCAGAGACCTGGTGGAAAATCATCACAGGCTTGTTTGAGAGGAGAGCCCTCCACAATGAAGAAAAGTAAGTGTTCAGTGGGTTTATCTGAAGGTTTGTCATGAATGATTCTCACAGTCATGATGTTTGACTTCTTCCCCTCTGTGGACACATGTTCACATCATCATCATCATATTTACTTAAAAAACACTTTGAAACAATCACAGCTGACACAAAGTTCTGTACATTGGAACTAAATAACAAAATGACATAAGATATAAATAAAAGCCAAATAAAATACAAAGTAAAATAATTCATTAGAGAAACTAAGTCTCACTGAGTTTAAAAGCCAAAGAATAAAAGTGGCTTTAAGACGTGATTTAAAAGTGGACAGTTAAGAGGCCTCTCTAATGTGCAGGGCAAATTATTCCATAATTTTGAAACCACGATAGAGAAGGCCCTGTCCCCTCTGAGCTTCCTCCTGGATCTCGGTACCTCCAGGAGCAGCTGGTCAGCTGACCTGAGAGACCGACAGGGTATGTGGGGATGAAGAAGCTCAGAGAAGTAAGGCGGGGCAAGATTGTAAAAGCATTTAAAAACAAACATGAGAATTTTAAAATGAACTCTAAAAGACACAGGCAGCCAGTGCAGAGAGGCTAAGACAGGGCTTATATGCTCTCTTTTACAAGTTCCTGTTAGGAGTCGTGCAGCCGCATTTTGAACCTGCTGCAGACCCGAGAGCAACAACTGACTGACCCCCACATAGAGTGAGTTACAGTCGTCCAGGCGGGAAGAAATAAAAGCATGGATCACTGTTTCAAAGTGCTTCCTAGAAAGAAAAGATTTTACTGCTGCCAGTTGCCTTAAATAATAAAAACTGGACTTCACCACTGCTCTAATTTGGTTGTCCAATTTAAAATAACTGTCCCACTTAAATGGCAAATGGTAAATGGCCTGTATTTGTATAGCGCTTTACTAGTCCCTAAGGACCCCAAAGCGCTTTACACATCCAGTCATCCACCCATTCACACACTGGTGAATGGTGGTAAAACCAAACAACAGGTTTAAAATAGACTTCCAGGGGTCCCAAATCACAGAGGACGACTCACAGGGACCACTGGGTCCAAACACCATCACTTCTGTTTTCTTGTCATTAAAATTTAAAAATGTTCAGAGCCAACCAAGTTTTAATGTCATCTAGGGATGTCATGAGAGGTTTTACGGAGATGCCATCCATCTGCTTGAGTGGCAAATAAATTTGGCATAACAATGAAATGAGATCCCATGCCTTCTAAAGATGGAACCCAGAGGCAATAAATACAGTAAATAGAGCAGTGGCCCTAAAATTGAGCCCTGTGGGACGCTGCAATTTGGGGTTAGTATCTTGCCCAAGGATATTTGGCATGCAGACTAGAAGCTAGGAATTGAATCACCAACCTTCCGATCAGTAGATGACCTGCTCTACCGCCTGAGCTACAGCCACCCCACAAACCCTTAATAATGCAGATTCTGTGCTATGAAGGGTTTTAAAACCTGACTGAAAAACCTCAAAGATGCCATTATCATCTAGAAAATCTTTCAGTTGACTAAAAACAATTTCTCTAAAACCTTGGAAAGTAAAGGCAGCTTGGAAACAGGCCTATAATTAGCTAAAACTGTGTGATCAAGGCCAGGTTTTGAAATTTGCAGGAACCACACCAGAAGTCAGACTGCTGTTAATAATGTCAAGGACATACTGCTCTATACTCGGAAAAATTATTTTAAAAATTGTGGAGGAAAAGGATCCTGAGGGGAACCTGCGGGCTTAATATGGCAAACCACATCCTCTAAAGAGGAGAGTGTCACAAGATCAAACTGAGTAAAAACAGCACTGCGAGGGACAGAGACAGAAAGGTCAGAGTCAGGAGCTGTGATAAGAGCCCTGCTGGTGAAGACCTATAAAATATAAAAAATAAAAAGTTCAGAAAATTACTGCAAATATCAGAAGAATAGAATAGAATAGAATAGAATAGAATAGAATTCAACTTTATTGTCATTGCACATGCACAGGTACAGGGCAACGAAATGCAGT